CTCTCTCTCTCTCTCTCTCTCTCTCTCTCTCTCTCTCTCTCTCTCTCTCTCGCTCTCTTTCGCTCCTCTCGTGATCGACGTCGCGCAAAAATCCGCAGATGTTCTTTCCGCAAATTTTACACGAGCCTACGAGTGAAATTCAGGGCGAGGCTCCGCGACAGGATGCACGCGCACTTCTACGCCGTATAAACACGAAACATTCGCAACGAGTGACCCCGTGTATATGTGAGCGCATACATATAGCAGGCTGGTGTCGCTCCTTTATGAACACACGCTATCAACGAGCGCGCATTCAACTACCGTTTGTGAGAAAATAATGGCGAATTGCGAAATCACGTGGTCCGTTCCGCGGATGCGACGCAAAAGGTACGTGACCGTGTAAACGCGAGATAGTAAATCATTCCTTCTTTTTACACATTTTTCTGCTCCTCTATTTTTCTTTCCTTGTGCATTTGTGCATTTGTGGAAAACTCACTAATCATTATTTAAAGATATATTAACAGGATTTTTAGTGAGACTTACAAAGTAATAAAACGCTTCGCCATAAATATACAGTTATTTTTAATTTCATTGTTACCTGACATTAGCATACATTTAAAAATAATCTTTAAATATTTTAAGAATTTCTATAAATATTCATTAGAATTTTTAAATATTACCTAAAAAAATATTAACGAGATTTTTAAAGAAACTTACAAAATAAAATACTTCGCTATTAATATATAATTATTTTTAGCTTCATTATTATCTGACGATTAGCAGTATGTTTGAGAAAATAATTTAAATATTTTAAGAATTTCTTAAAGTGGAATTTCTAATAAAAAATTCGCTCTTTCTTTTTTTTGCAATAATATTCCAAATTGTATATATTATAAAAAAATTGTCACGTTTTAGTAATATGATTGTAAAAGTGTTCTTCCATCGGAGTAATTGTTTATCGTTTGCATTTCGTTAATTTTGTCGCTGTAAAAACAGATTGACTTTATCTCTGCGAAACCGGCTCGTTGAATTTCGCCAAGCATTGCATGCAGAAAGACGTTCGGGATTTTCGTGCGTCATTCGCGCGGCGCGAACGAAACCTGATAATTCCAAACAAAACACCGCGTTAAGCGTCATGGCGTTTTGCGCACTCGGGCGAGTGCGTCGAATCGGCGGGCATATTAAATGCGGACAGGTTTCAGGTGTGATTCAGCGTCGAGGTGCAAAAACCAGTTTTTTTTTCTTCCTTTCCCCCCCCCCCTCCCTTCCGCGCGCCCTCATTCATTATACAATCGAAACGCCGAAAGGTTGATGGGTTGCACAATTATTGTTTTGATACCTGACTTCCGTTTCGCCGCCAATGTATCTGCGAGACAACTTTCGTTGGCTCGATTTCTCACGATCCTAGATCCGCGTAATTTTCACGCGTTTCGTCGATCTTTTTGGAACTTTCTCGAGTTTCGGTTTCACCGGCGGCGTCGCGGCAACGGCCACCTCGGACAATGCGCTCGGCTACTAGAAGCCGCCTCGGATGGTAGCTCCGCGCGCGAAAGTAGGGAAAGTATCTCTCTCGATTCACATGTATGTCTGACATACAACATATCGCCGGATGGAAGGAAAAATAATCCGGGGCTGTTATCGCGATCGGTTGCGATTAAAATTGGAAAGAGGAGTACTTGGAAGGACGATCGCGCCATAAATCGATCTTGGATGGCCGATGACCTTCCGTGCGAGATTCCGCGAAATCGCATCTCCCACACGAAGATCTGGATGTTATGCATGGTGCGCGATGACG